TTGCATCAAAAGCAATAGGGAGATTGAATCGTAACAAACAATTCGTCGATGCTCAAATGATCACGTAGCAATCGGGGAGAAATAGGGTCAGAGGTCACTAACAGTGGATGATACTCTACGTCATGAGTTATACACTCGTAGGTAGCTCTTATGAAGTTACGTATAGTGTTGAATGTATTATGTCAAGATGAAAGGAAGATGCAAGGCTGAGAGTCGTCTTGGTTTGTGTCCGAACTCCACTTTCCCACTTGTTTATTGTCTCTGCACTTCACTCTCCCGCGAAGAAGTCCAGCGCCCTGAACATAATAATCAGGAACGAATGAGACGGGCTTCTCGTGTATTGGTACGGTCGTTTGCCCTGTTACGGTACTGGAGACGGACCTGTTTTCTTCGAAAGGGCTCTGGTCTAGCAGTTGCTTGATTTGCTGGCGTACCCATAGCTTGCAGGCCTGTTTGCTTTTTGTGTACATGGCCTCGGTAGTTGTCTGGCTTTGCAATTATGGCGCGGAAGGTTGCTAGTTGGCCTAGTACATCTGCGTAGTCTGCTGGGCGGTGGCTTTCTGTGATCTTTGACTTTGGTTTAGGTTTGCTTGGTGGGTCATCTAGTGGGGAGATGTGGGATAGGACCTGGTGTAGACGGTCCGTGGCTTGGTCTGTGCCTATTCTTGTTGATGGGTTGTCATTTTTTTTGTCGATGTATCAATTGGTGTATACGGTTTGATTTATATGCTCTTTTAAAGTCGATGTCATACTCAAAGTTGGAATTTGCTTGAAAACGCAAGGATTTGGTCTACTAATGATATGGGCAAACTGTGCGAGGGTTGAGGTCGCACACGCCTAGAGCTGTTTTTGTGTCTTTAAGTATTTCTGTAGTTCTATGAAAAATGATCCGGGTAGATAGCCATGTCAGTGTCTCTGGTTCTGTGTGATCTAACTTGGACAATCTGCTGGCCAACATAATCGTGACTGCACCTACCTTGGAAATATCCGATAGAAATGCCCAGCGGGGGATTGAAACTGTGAAAACTAATATCAGCCTTCTACGAGGGATCGTGGCTCATCCTGATTTTATAAACGGCAAAATCGACATACAAAGGCTCGGGCTCAACCTCGACGCAGTACTCCAACAAAGGGAGAACTTATCAAAGACTCCTCAGGGATTAGATTTTCTAGCTAGCCCTTCACAACAAGTGATCGCCGAAAGTGGACTGCCAACATCAAATCCTTGTGCCGAAAAAGAGATGTATGGCCACTCACGTTAGAAGCTCTGTTGAAAATTCCCAATAATTAAATGAAGTTGCCCATTATCTATGGCTGCCACGGGTGCTACGCCAGAGGAGGGTGTCATTGAAGGTACACGTTTGGTCGATTTTGATCGAAATTTTGGCAAAGTGGATGTCCGTTGGTCAGATCGCATGTTCAATCCCATTGTGTATTAAACTAGGTTTCCCAGATATCACCAACGAATCAGCTTTCAGATTCACTTGGTTTCTCAGCATCATTGGTCTAGTGGTAGAATTCGTCGTTGCCATCGACGAGGCCCGTGTTCGATTCACGGATGATGCATGACTTCTTTTTTTCCTTTTCGCTCTGTTACCATTTTTGAAGTGATCCAATATTCTACCGTGCTGTTTGAATTTTTTTGGGCACGTGTCTGTAAAATATTATCAAACCAAATTCAAATTTGTTTGTGTTTGTTTTTTGCGATTCAAGGCAAGCGGTCATCCTAGGCGGTCACTTCTATCGGTGACGTCACCGCCTCGGCTTTCTAATCTTCAACTCTTCCCTCTTCCTCGACTCAGAGTGAATTTCACTATGGACACCCTCGGTATCTATGTGCTGACCTTTAACTGTGCAAGAAACTTTGTCGATGTCGACGTATTCGCAGACCACTTCTTCGACGCACTCCCCGCGTCTGGTGCGGGGAGCTCCGCACCCGACCTGATTTTCCTCTCGTTACAAGAAATCGCACCCATTGCCCACTCGTTCCTCGGAGGATCTTATCTTTTTCCTTACGTTGATGCATTCCGCCGTACCGTCCAAAAAGCCTCGGCACAAAAATGGGACCAGCACTATGTGAACTTCCTCACGGAGAATACGGGCATGACAGGGCTGATGCTTTTCGCGCGCGAGGACACCCTGGGCAAAATCGCCTGGAAGGACACAGCCCAGGTCGGCCTTGGAGTTCAGGAAATGGGAAACAAGGGCGCGGTCGGGGCGCGCCTAGGATATGTTGTTGAAGGACACCCATCTCAGACCGTGGACCTCACTTTCGTCGCAGCGCATCTCGCTCCCATGGAGGATTCCTGTGAGCAAAGGAACCTGGACTGGAAAAGTATTGTTGAGCGCCTAGTATTTACCCATGACAGCAAGAAACCAGCAGAGAGGTCAAGCGTGGACGAGAACTCCAGCCTTCTCGAGGCCGCCGCATCGGCACATGCGGAGGGCAGTCGCAGAGATTTGTTCGCGCCAAATGCCTACCTATTCCTTGCCGGGGACCTGAACTACCGCACGGCAAACATCGGACCCTCGACTCGGGAGATTGAACAATTCCCTCGGCGCAATGTCGACCTCGATAATCCGTCGCACTATTCCCATCTTCTAAAGAAAGACCAGCTCGTACGCGAAATGAGCTATGGCAGGACCTTCCACAGTCTTTCTGAGGCGTCGATTGATTTCCCTCCGACGTACAAATACTCGGATGCCGCGCGCGAAGCTGTCCGTCGGGGCTTGGACACAGGTGATCATGAATGGAAATGGTCGAATCACCGTTGGCCCAGTTGGTGTGATCGAGTCCTTTACCTCGATAAGCCCTGGGTTGGCGAAGCTGGAAAGGTCAAGCCGCTTGCTTACGACGTACTGCCCCTCTTTGCACAGTCAGATCATCGCCCCGTTGCGCTCGTTGCATCGGTGCCGCTACGACCCTCTAGCGCTTCTTCAAACACCGAGAACATCCGTGCTGTGGCTCCATTCTCCATCGATCCGAATTGGAAATCCAAGCGAGACCTGGCGCGGCGAAAGGAGATTGTGGTGGGTGCAGTTGCGTATTTGGGACTGACCAGGGAAGGAAATGGGCTGCTGCTCGCATCGTTGCTTGGTCTATTCGGAGCGTGGTTCGTTCTTCGGTCTATGCTGGAGGTTTGAGTGATGGTGTGCTGAACGGCGCTCGGAGACTTCAATTTCCTACCCTTTTTTTAAAAAAATAAAAAAATCCGAATGCCGTTTCTTGTTGCCTCTTGGGTGTTTTCGGAAGAATATCATGCAATGCTGCCAGTCGCCAGATCCGGACACAGGATGAAAACAAAGTCCAGCGATTCCCCTTTCGCTTTGCGCAGTCAGGCTCCAAGGTTATTAATCGGGTTGCATCAGCAGCCTCAATCGAATGTCCTGTGACAACGGAACTCCCCGCATTTCTCCAAATGGGTCCCATCAGCTCCATCAGATAACTCAATGGTCCAACTTCCTGGCTGTAGTCTCAATTATGTACCATCAGACAATGCGATTGATGATTTCTCAGCAATAACCTAAACTAGGCAGTACTCTTTCTGGGCCAAGTCACATGAATCGAGCCGATCCGAAACGGTCAGGATGCATTCTGCAGGTGAGAAAGGAGGCGTTAAGGGCTGAGGGGGCGCCATGGCTTGAATTCTCGAGCAGATGAGGTCAGATTTCTTGCTTTTCTCCAATCCTCCGATTTTCGCTCTTTTCTGGCTCTGGGAGAAATACCCATGGCTGTGATGACTGAGCTGAGACTCTCTGCAGGGGACCTCACAGGTCTCTCGGATGTCGGATATATCGGATACAAGTGTATCCATGGATGGTTGGCTGTCACGGTCACTGCTGTCACAGTAAGGTTTCTCCCCTCTTCGGTCCCCTCCACTCTTTGGTTGCACCGGGTGATTTTTGATTTGGCGATGGTCCAGATGCCGAGGTACATCTTCGACTGTCTAGACTCCAATTGTTTCTGTTCCTGGTCCACTGTTCTTTCATCCATGGATGATGATGATGATGATGAATTCATTGACCCGTTTTAGCTCGCTTTAAATACATGCTGCTATGCGGGGGGTTGCGTCCCAGAGCCCGCTCCCGACGACAAATGGTGGTGCATTCCTTTTATCCATGGATCCAACTGCAGCCGTCCTAAAAATCCAAATGGTCTCTAATGATGCATCGGCTCTTTAATCATAAATACAATATCCGTAATAAATTGAAAAACAAGATAGGGTTGTAGCCCCAACCATTGACATGTGATAAATGGGACTGCCCACATGAACCGGTCAAGTGACCAGCAGAGAGCTTAATTTCCTGATTCTCCCAACCCAATTTTAAAAAGCCCTGGGCCACGTCTAGCCTTCAAGGCGTGTACGACGTTACGAAAGCATCGACAAGGGGAAATATGTAAAGAGGAAGTTTCATGTGAGGCGGTGTGTGGTCTGAACATGTATAGAGATCTTGACAGCCCGGAGTTTTCTGGAATGCACAGCACTGGATCTGACAGTAAGCCCTGCATTTTGGGCATCTCATTTCTTACTACGGAATATTTCTGGCTTGACTGAAAAAAAAAATTTGAAAAAAAATTGAAAATGAAAAAAAAACCGGCCTGTGGGTCCACAACCTCTCTCTCCTCCATTGGGATGAAGGAGAAACCATACAAATGTAGGACCAAGTGAAAGGGCTATTGAATTGGATTGTTTTAGTGAAGCTTTGAGGCCTGGAAGATTAGATTGCTACTGGTTAATCCTGATGTATAAGGCAACAACAATCTTTGGACAGAGTAGAAGAAAAGGGGGTTGGATATACAGTGCTGATGATCAAAGAAAATGAGCAACACATGTCACTGACAAAACTGAACAGGAGAAAGTGGACAGCACAGAAGGATCGAAATGTTCCATGCAAACTTACAAACGAGCCTGAAAGGGAAAATCTAGGAATCCCCTGAGTTCGGTGGAGATTTTTCCAGAACCAAACCCAGCCCTCCAAAAGCTGTATGGAGGCCCAAGAGCCCAAGACCCAGCATTGGGAATCGAGGGGAATGTTTTCAATTTGAAACCCAGTGATCTGTATAGAATACTCAAAAGCAATCAAAAGGGAAAGTCAAAAAAGTGATCATCTCCTTCAATCAATGCACATATGTACTTACAATCGACTACTCTGTACCTACTTTCACGTTCATTGAAGAACGGAGTACCTCATCCGAAGCTTAACGGTTTGGTTTGCAGGTTGTTTCGCAATTTACCCGTGTCAGGTGCTCCACCTGTCCCTGCAATATACAACATCCATACGAGACTGCAAGTCATTCTGCGATCCTGACGATGCATCGTACCTTTTTTTCAATGTATGGTGGATCCTTTATTGGCCGCCTTCATGCACCGAAGACCAGCATTTGAACCGATCAACCCGCACGTACGGGCCAAGGGATCAAGATCGACCGATCGTTGCAGTATGAGAATCTCCAAAGTATTTAGTAAGTTGTATGTGTTCCATAACAAAGATAACTCAGATATTAACAAACGTTGAAAAAAGGCTGGGAAGCACTTCCAAGTGTGCCCAATGCTACCTAGAGTCCCGTCAAGAAATCACCAAAAGCCGAACAAAGAAATTGATTCAGATAGAGAGATTAAAGAAAACAACCAAAAAAAATTTTAAAATTGGTAAGAAAAAAAAAATTATAAAACAAGTGTTTTAAAAAAAAATTAAAAAAAGAGCTAATTATAATATAAAACAGAAAAAAAAATATTTACCAACCCCAGCAAGCAGCCGTAATAAAATGGAACCCTAAAAATTCTAATCCTCCTATTTCACTGCCTAGAATTGTCTTCGTTGGGTTGTTTAATGTGTTGTAAGCCATCTTTTAAGCCTCTGATATAAACCCCTTCACCTTCTCCCAAGATCTTCTCTTCCTTCAAAGTCTTCTCTAGCTTTAACCCTTGTGGCTGAAATTTCTATTCTCCCAACCTTGAACCTCCGACGTCATCGTGTTGTACTGCACAATCTAGGCCTTGATCCTTATTATCCGTTTAATCTCGAGTCTAGTCTACTTCTTTCCTGTTCTTCTCGCTCTTTGAGATCCAACTCAACTCCCTTTGTTGACCAGCATCTGATCTCTACACCACCCCGGTCAATATCTACCATGTATTCCTGCGCAAACTATCCCCGTGGGTGCCGAGGCCGTGTTAACCGACAAGGAGCGAAATGCTCTGACTGTGTTGTATGTGATCATTAAATTTACATCTTTGAATTTGCCTTTGCAAACAAAAAAGCCATTCACAGAGATACTTATACAAAAAAAACTTACACCTTTGACAGTCTCTAAATTTGCGCCGCCCAGCTTTCGCTTCGCCATTCGCCCAACCACGCGATTACAAGCGCGCGCTGCCCTCAGAGCTCTTTGGCGAGCTTGCATCCAAAGCATCTGAACCTGAGCTGTCATGAACACGACGCTCGCACATTCCGGGACGGTCCGGAGAATAGCCCAGCTCCTCGCTAGGTTGTATCCTGCCGGCTGGGATTCACCTCGCAAGGCCCACGGCCACTTTCTTTGTTGTTTTTTATTTGCCTCTCTCTCTCTCTTTTGCATCGCCAGGGGTTCCTTTGTTATGTTCGGTGGCCGTTTTCTATTTCCTTTGATGCCAAATTTCCTGATTCCCTCTACCTCGCCTCTTTGATTTCGTCTGGACTCTCTACATTGGCCGGACTAATGAGCGAGCTTCCACGAATCTCCTTTTAGGAACAGAGAAACTTGGTATGGAAATCATGGAAATCGCTCTATTCACTCACTTGGGTTTGCTTCTAGGACAAAGAACGGCCTGCCTCTTTTTTTTGTTCTGCATGGAGGATAGATCACTTTTTCTTTTTTTTCGCATGGATACCTATGGACACGGATCTGCCACTGGAGGGCAGTGGCGCTGATGGATTGGGTTCTTTCAACTCCCCGGTTGGTCGTTGATCGACCCCTTCTTTTCCCTGCGCACATGTGTGCTTTAATATCCTGGTTTGACTTTGGTTCTGGTTTTTATGTCCCATTTTTATGCTCTCTTTACCTGATGTCGACTCTTTTCTTTGTGAACGGTGATGCCATACCCCTCTGTTGTACTGCTCTTCCTATCATATGACCATTTCCCATAGTGCTCTATACCTATTAACAGCATCGATACTGTCATGCTTGACCATCTGATCCCATTTTGATCCCATCTAGAACTAAATCAAAAGGTTCAGCCCTGTCGGCAAGATTCCTAATCCATCCTCAAACCCGACACCCACTTCGGTACCCAACCCTTGCAGGAAGCAGCATGTTCGGGTCTAAAGGGACATACGCTCAGCCGCAGTGCCGCAAGGGGCTGTGAAGTTTGGGCCCCAAAGCCCCCCTCTCACTTACCCGTCGTGGGCACCCGGCTAGTCCTAACAATTTTCAGCCTCAATACATCCCGCATCTCACATTGAAACAGAGATCGGAACTCAATAGACCAGAAAAAGGTAAAATTAAATTTTATTTTTTCCTTAAAAAAAAGGATACTTCAAGGATAGAATAGAGATACGATCTGCACACACCCCGCCCATCTCTCGGCTCACTTAACACCTAAGAACCTCTCACCAGACGTGCCTTCCTCCTCATCAGCACTCAGCCCATTTCTGTCGTGTCGCATCATCCCCTCGGATCCGCTGCACAATACCGAATCAACCGAAACAACCCCTGTAGCTAGATTCCAGTCAGCATCTAGACCTCGCCCAAATCTACAGATCTACGCCTTGCAATATATGCGTGGGTGGCATGCTCCTGTTCCTTCTACTAGTCAATAGCCGGAGGGGGCTATGTTGCACGCAGGTTTTCGGGTTAGGCAGTAATGGTAATTGTGCGAGGCTCAGTACGACCTGCGCCGTCGATCGGGTATTGTTGATAGCTCATTTTATGTAGGGGTTATCCCTGCTGGTGGGCGCACACAAATCTACAATGCACAAATTTTTGGTGGTATTGGATTGACGCCGTTATGGCTTAATTTGATTACCTATCAGAAGGGGGGGGGCAGTTTTTTTTTTTTTCAGGTTGTGCTAGGTCAGGTGGTACGGGTATTTCGGGCGGTCTAGACTGAGCTGGGCCTGGCTTTTTTCGGAGAATTCTTGGTTCCGAGGGGCTGCAATCTATAGAATTGCGTGTATGTACCTTTCAAGGTATGGATCGGGCATGTCGCACCTTGACTACCGAGGAACGGTGGAAAAAGGGGCGCTTACTCCGTAATTCGTAGTACTCTGTACAATATAGGAGAATGCCAAAGAAAAGGAACTATGTAGATCACTTGTCTCAGAGATAGCTAGGTTCCACTCTTGGTGTTTTGTCCACATCTGAAACTAGTGTCGATTTTGTCTATAGTATTGCAAGGTAAACATTTCCCCTCGGGTAAAAGTGACGGCCCGGGGTCAACCGAACAGCATTATGAACAAGGGATCAGGGGCTGGTCAACCAATAAGACGCTCAAAATCAGAATCGAAAAAAACAAAAAAAAAAAAAACAATAGAACCAAAACTCACATTCCACAGTTGGATTTTGTCAAATTTGGGCTCCATCCGAATGTAAAACAAAGCCCAGTGGGATAAGCTAACCAAGGAGCCTAGTGTTAAATATGCTTCTAGCCGCTTCTACTGGCCTTCTCTACCGTTTCTCTTTTTGTTCTCTAGCGTGGAAATTTCAAGCCCCTTTTTTCTATTTTCTTTTTTTTCCCGTCTTTGGGGTAATTTTCTACGCCCAGCCACATGCCACATACGGAGAGTGTTACGGAGTAGGGGATCGATCGCTGTTTCAGGAACTGTGGGGAATCCAGCACGTTCCATCTCCACGGGATGTTCTGCTCATGAGAACGATGCTCTAGCTCGTTTGGAATCTCTCAGATCTGTTGATCGCCGTGGGAAGGATAATCGGATAATCGGATAGTCGGTGTGGCGTTTACAATTCCCGTTGACACTTGGGTAAATCTGGGAATAGGATTTGTTGATGTTTGTGCCGAAGTCCTGCCGGGTATGTCTCTGGGCACTATATATTTACAGATCTAACATATTGCATGGCATCCCTTGACTTATTAAGATACGTCCCTATCTAGAAGAGGAAATTTTAACGGACGACCGTGTTTGCCGGGCTAATTACCTAGATTAATGCTATATTAACTAGTCTCCCATCCCCCTAATATACTGACGCAGTGGCAACATGATGTGCAGGTAGCCAATCCTCATCAAGATCCGAAAATTAATAGGATTTCAGAAAGTCTAGAACGCGAGAAAAGGAGTCAAATTCAAATCCATGACCCGTGAGCTTGTCTGCATTCAACAATCGAGCCAAAGTGGATATCCTACATTTGCATGTGCCCGAACACGAACCTCCACATCCACCGTGCCCTGTAGGCGACCAAAGACCCCTGTTTGAATCTCTAATCCGATACAGAAGTGTCAAACTGCTAAACGGGCTGCGGTGGAGATGTACCCGGTCGGATCGACGATGTAGGTACGCCTCTCGGCTACAGTTACCACTTGATTATTTGTCCCGGTCCGGAACGCGCCATTAGGTTTGGATGATAAGCGCGGAACGGCTGAAAAGTCGACTCGGCCGGTGTGTTTGGTCCCCCGGTTGAAGAACCGCTTTGGGGCCTCTCATCTCGGGTCGGGCGCACGTTGCGTGGACACCGGCACTTAGCGGAAGAACTTAGCGATGGATGGTTTTTGCCGACACAGTGAGAACCACATGTTGGACCTTGGTTCGATGTGAGTTGGGAATTTATATGTTAGGCTTTCTTGGTGGATCCATTGTTCGGAGCTCGGAAGTGGATTTTACGGCCCTAACCCATAAAGAGGCTTAAAATTTCAGTTTGTGTTCAACACAGCTTCTAGATGTTTCTGGTGCAATCGTCTAGACATCCAAAATCTGCCGGCACACCCATTGTGCGGTCTGGGTGTGGAGTGTCCAATCTCACTCGTCTTCCAAAGTTTCTGTGTCGGTAGCTTCCGTACCATGCTTACCTGTGTTACAGGCCTTTCCAAGTGCCTCGAAAACAACTACCTGATCTCTCATGTAGCTATCTACAGAAGCTCATTTAACGATGGAAGTAGGCTTTTGGTCTGGGTTGGCATATGGACTCTCGTTGGAGATTTCCTCAATGAATCCTTTCACACATCGGCGGACTAGATCTGCAGCCGCAGAAAATGCTACGTTGTTTTGAGAATCACGCTGAGAGTCACGGGCTGGCTGTTGCTTTTGCTTTCCTTTTTCCTTCGGCTTAAGCAAGCGATCGCCTCCCGTGCTGCTGAGAATATCGTAGCCTATTCTGAACCCTGAGGACGTATGGGCCACAAAAAGGATGTACACATGGCTGCGGTGATTTGTAGCTTCCGTTGTGTGTATCTTGATGGGAACTGGTGTGTCTTTGGCTGGCGATTTGCTGTGAGAGTCGCCACCAGATAGAGGCAAATTAGAGCGTTGAGCAAAAATCGACGGATCCATCTTTCTCATTTCACAGCGGAGAGCGTGTTGAGTGAGCTGCTCAATAAATTGGCGAACAGTACTCCCTGTTCCCTCTTCTTGATCCGCGTTGAGAGTGGGTTGATCCGGTGCTAGCACTGTGATGTCAATTTGCGTGATTTTGCCGCGATTGTGATCCATTATACTAATCCGTGGGAAGCTGCATTGAGGCTCGGCTGTCCGGTCTTCTTTGAATGACTCGTTGGTTTGAGTCGGGTCATCCGGATTATGTCGATATCCAAGTGTGTGTATGAGAAAAGTGACTGCTCCAAGGTCAACTGGTCCCGTTGTCCAGCCACGCTTATGAAGAATAATGGACAAGGGAGGCAATCCAAGTTTGGAGAAATTGGGCACCATAACTTGCGCTGCATAGTCATATGATGGAGAATAAGTAGCATTCGTTCCACCAGTTATGCTCACTGTAATGAAGGGACCAGCCGCCTGAGATCCAACATGAAGTAGATACGGATAGATGGCCTGAAAGACGAGAAAGATGGCTCCGGCAGTCGTGAGCTTGATGTCGTATTCGGACTTTACATTGACTTCCGACAAGTCCAGCAGAGGCCCGCTTTTCGATCTGGTTGACTGTGGAAAGAAGCTCAATGACTGGGAGCCAACCTCGCCTCCCGAGACTTTGCTGCTGCTAATCTCGACCAACAGCTTCACTGATGCAGCATGAGATCTCTTAAGTCCCTTCTTTCCCTCTCTGTTCCCGCGGACATGATCAATGCTAACTGGACGACCAGTCAATGCAGACAGCCCAATTGCAATGCGAACTAGCTGCCCACCTCCTTCCAGAGTTTGGCCGTTCAAATGGACATGATTCAATTTGGATGAAGTGGATCGCAAGGCCGCCATTTCAGACAAGTTGAGTTATACTTGACGCTGATATCTTGAAGCCTCTCGAGCATTTGTGCAAAAGAAACAAGTTACAATTTTCACTTCAACTAGTCTCACCTTCGTTTGGTCATCCTGAGGCTGCGTCATCTTGGTATGAGTCACCATTAGGGGGGGGGCAGTCTACATTCCCAGGGGACTCTTCACGCTTAGCGAAGACCTAACTCTGAATATAACCAAATCGAGATTAATCTGAGAAATACGCTGAAATGAGTGGAATAGATGTAGAAATGGCAGTTGCCATGAAGTTATTTTTGTTCCTTCCGTGGTGATACTTCCTTCTATGAGAGAAGTGAGTATCTCGTCTTGAATCTTCCCTCTTCAAATCCCCAAATCCCTTCTCTAAATTTCGTCTCTCAATACTTCTGTAGTTATATACCCTGCAGACCTTTTGTAACATGTTTTCATCTACATCCAATACACGCAGCCTAAGAAGGACCATGTCCACCCGTTCAATACGAAAGCCGCGACGATCAGCCCCGGAGAACCCCGATTTTGCCATGCAGCATGCAACCGCTGCAACTGCAGCTTCGCGGGCAATGCGCTTGAGTCAAAACTCGTCTCGTGAATCAAGAAACCCTTACGAAAGGCTAGGTGGTCCAGGAAATGTGGCCATCCCTCGAAGGTGTCCCGGATCGAGCCTTCGGAGCACCAATGATAGCTCGTCGGTCAGTCAGGGCGACATGCCTAAAGTCTCAAAGCCTCGCCTGTCCAAGGAAAGGACTGGTACATCGGCTCGAAGTCATTGCTTCGATGACCCTGCCGCTCTTCCACCAATCACAGAACTTGACGGACTCGATGGGCGAGATAGCTCAGTGCCCTCTTCATATCGTCGATTGCGCAAGGCCAAGTCAATGTTCTCGACCAGGCAGCGAACTTCACAGACCCCATATGGAGTGCCTTCCCTTCCTTGTGGTGATCCACTTGACCCCGAGCGCAGCCCTGGATTTCAGCTGCCGCGAACAATGAGACGATCCTTGTCTTTTCTTCGAGGAAGTTGTCAATCCACACCAGTCAGTCCAACTGCTAAGGGTCATGATGCAGCTATTCAGCTTGCCCGTAGCCAATTTTCCCACGATCCCCACAGTAGTTTTCAAACTCGCCGGTCGTCTTTCTTGCTCAGACGCAAGAAGGAGCACAGGCCATTTCGAAAATCGTTTCGGGCCACGAGTGAAGGTGGTTTCGATACTGGGCGTTCTCATCGGTCCATTTCAACCTCCATCAAAAATAAATTCAGACGCGTGTTTGGGTTTTCCAAGTTGCCGGATCAACAATCTGCGCCACTTGGTGACCCAAAGGATTCTGAGGCGCCTGTGGCAACTCCGGTTGGGAAAAGCACAGAAAAATGCTCTCCACGCAAACTTACTGCCACTGAAGACGGTATTTACTCCAACGATTTCCAGCCAATGCCCCAGTCACCCAGCCGTGATATTCTCTGCACTTCCAATTCGCGCGTCACCAGTTGGGCTGATTCAACCATGCCAAACACAGTTACAGGCCGGAAGCAAGGACATCGCCAATCTCTCTCTTTAATCAGAGAGGACGGGGATCCGTACCAGCAAATACCACGGACGCCTGTGATGGAAGATACCGAAAATGAGTCTCCTTTGGCTGTGAGAGCGAGCCCTCAACGAATTAGCATTGTTGACAGTCAAGATTTGTACACTGCGTTGATGAAACAGATGGCCCACAACTCCATGTTCGATCCCAATGAGGAGATGGTTTTCGGCAATGTGCCACAGCATCGTGTGATTCCAGAGCGAACGAACTCGGTCTACTCTCAACGTGGCCGACGCAGTATCCGTCCTGTCCCAAGCCAAGAATCCTTGACCTCGCCTGCTTCATTTGCAACAGCACGCGGTGGTGACCAATCTAGTCCACGAAATTATCCGCGCTCAGCAAAGTCGATGCAAGTTTCTCGACACATGGCGTCTCAGGTAAAAAATGAACGTGTGACTGCTGCTTTAGACAAAAGATCGCCGCAATCAACGGACGCCTTGACTGAAGAATCGGATGGGGATAATGGTAGCGTTATTGTTTCTCGCGTCCGGGCCTCGAAAAGAGACATGGTTTCCCCAAGTGTCTATTCCCGGACCACCAGTGGCAATACCCCAACAAGAACTGACAATGCCGATACGAAGGTCCATGACGAACCAGGAACAGCAACCATCTTTACTCCACAGCGGACAATATACAGCTCACCCAATCGTGCCTATTGGGCTTCGTCTCCCCCACCTCAGGTGAATCCCAGTGCGGACTGGCAGCGGTGGATGAGCTCGCAGATCGAAAGAATTGAGCAGGCAAGCCCCACAAGGGAACATATCAGAGAGTATGCACAATACCAGGACGATGATGAGTACTTTACCAGCATAGCTCGACGAGCTCCTATCGCTATCTCCGCTCCCGCTTCATCAACTCTACTAAAGGTTCCAGACAGCCAGAATATCACCGAGCGCCAAGCTTCGGCTGAGAACAAAGTCCCGTCACAGAGCAATTTCTCCCGTCCATTAATCCAGCCTTCCGGCATGCGAACCACCATGCCACTGCAGATAACTAAGTCGGAAAATAAGGTGCAGGCTCACGCCAACTCATTAGCTGTGGAGACTGCTGCTCAGTCTGGTGAAAATGTTTCACCTAAACCCATTGCTTATCATCAAGAACCGTCGCCAATTCGACTGAGGTCCGGGAACATGCAGCCACCAGAGTCCCCGACCCCGAAGGGAGTGGGGGCAAAGCGATCCTGGACCAAAGAGCAACAGCGACGACGCTATTCAGCCAGGCGTGCTCCGATCGCCCAAGATAGCAGGATTAATCACTTCCGGTCCATGCGCACCCAACGAGACAACCGTGCAAGCAATGAGAACGCACGGCAGCAGGATGAGTACACTGACATGGTGGAGAGCTACCAGCAACTTCAAGACATTCAGTCCACGGTCTCTAGCAAGCGTATGGTTGATATGTTCTTGGACAGTCGCCGTCGACAAATGGGCGAAGTCCCTGACAACGATACAACCACTGAGGCCTTTCTTTGAACGTGAGAAAGAACTCTTTCTTCTATTGGAATAACTCGTGGGGCATTTCCCTTTTTTTTTGGCTCTGTCTTATTCTTTCGAAGACCTTGACAATTCATTCGCTCATTCATCTATCACTTTGGGGACTTGCATACTAAAGCTCCAGGTTGGAGTTGGGTAGTATGTTTACCTGATGTGGAAGTATGGAAAGCAGCCATTATTATCTTTTATTATTTGCGCCTAATCCAAAAAAAAAAAGCTTGTTAAGATATTCATTCCACCTAGAAGAAAATGGTTGTCAACTGATGCAAAAAAAGAAAAAAGAAAAAAGAAATCTCTCCCTCGGGGAATCGAACCCCGGTCTCCCGCGCTTATCGGTGTTAATGACAAGCGGAAATCATCACCACTAGACCAAGGAAGATGCGATGGTCGAGTTGCTGCTCGACCACTCGACGGATTGATGAAAAGTCTGAGAATCATTAATTTTATGAATGATGACTTGGTGTCATAAAGCAGTCAAATTCCAATATTCAACCATTGTAGTTTCGATAAATATTTGATCCAAACAATTGTTGAAGGTAAATAAATTATGTGGTCTAACGCATCCTGAATGAGGTTTTACTTCACTTTCGAAAAGGGGGAGGAATTGTATAAAAATTACATGAAGCTTACTATATATTTTCGTCAACTGCAATGTCCGAGGCATCCGCCTTGAATCGCGTTTAAGCTTCAGCCGTGACTGATATGTCTGTGAGTTACCACATACAACCTTAGCATCTTTTTCGTCTTATATTGCACCTAACGATTCTGATTTCTCGCAGAGAGTCACCGTAGAGAGAAAATAAGTTGCGGTCGAAATAGGTGCTTTCGTCTTTCGAACAGTTTGTTCAGCCACTGGTATCCACGCGTGGCATTAAGTGGATCACTGCGTGTAAGTAAGCGCTCCTTGTAGGGATTTCCCATGTAGGGATTAGCCGTGTGGGTATTGACCGAGCTGAAGCCAATCATGCCATGTAGATATTCTTCAAGTAGGTAATTGCCATGTAGGTATACCCCTTGTGGGTATTGTCCACGCATAAGAGAAGAGGAATGGCCACGTTTTTGTGTAGCACCAGCAAGTAGTCCAAGGGAAATAACACATAAATCCAACAATGGATGTTTTCCTGGACATTCTGGATACATTGGTCTTCGACCGGTGCTACGCATTTCTCTCGCCCGACCCAGCAGCAACTTTCAGCAATGAAACTTTACCCGCTGCCAATTTGAATCGACATGTCAAGGTTTATTACCCCATGCAGCCCTCAAAATGGGCCGAGGCAAGCCTTTGGAAGAGAGATGACATGGCCAGACAAGCATTGTCGTTGTATGCGATCACATGGTTCGTCATTTCACTCGAAAAACAATATTCCAGCAACTGATTGGGATCTCACTGTGAAAACTAGGCTTTTCGCAATGATCATGTACCTCCTCGGTAGCCTGCTACTATACCACACTTTATTCGACAAAAGGCTGCTCAAGCACCCGCGATTCCTCCCAGACCAGATCAAACTCGAGATCTACCAAGGAATCTCTGCAATTCCAGTAATGGCTCTCCTCACCGTCCCCTTTTTCATAGCCGAGATCCGAGGATGGTCAAAGCTATATGATTTCACCAGCGAGTCCCCGTTCTTCGGATACACCTTGCTGCAATATCCATTGTTCATTTGCTTCACAGATAGCGGGATTTATTGGATCCATCGTGGCCTGCATCACCCTTTCTTTTACCGCTGGCTTCACAAACCACACCATAAATGGGCAGTACCGACGCCGTTCGCCAGTTATGCGTTTCATCCGTTGGATGGATGGTCGCAGAGTCTGCCCTACCATGTCTACCCGTTGATTTTTCCGCTGCAGAAAGGTGCATACTTGGGGCTGTTCATCTTCGTTACCGTTTGGACAGTGCTGATCCGTGAGTTTTTTTTGATCACTCTGAACTGAAGGCATTATAGCTTACACTGATTCCTGCAGATGATGCCGAGTACATGCCAGGATCGGAGATTATTAACGGCGCTTCTTGTCATACGATGCATCACCTGCACTTCAACTATAATTATGGGCAGTTTACAACAGCGTGGGATCGTCTCGGAGGAACATACCGAAGACCTAAGGGGGATAACTTTATGGAAAGCCAGGATAAAACCGGGAACGAGAAACTTACAAACAAGCGTGATTGAGATGGATATCCCATTTTGGGGATCTCTTTGTATTTTAATTGTACCAGAATAGTCGACCGCCTATACGGCCTCTGTTACTGAGGAGGTCGTCATTTGGTTCGAGATGTTTCATATGTAAAATTACAATGCAATGTATTTTGAATGTTTCTTAAGTTTTCAGGTGTTGAAGAATGAAAATAATCAGCCGCAAAATGCAGCATGCGTTCGGTGAAAAGAGAAATTTTCTTGTACAGTATTTGACTCTATTGTGTTTATGTTCAGGGTCTATGGCGCGCTTTGGTGACACCATTGAATAAATTCATTCAAATTCCCCAAATCATCAGTAGCAGTGTTGTCCATATAACTAAGGCTGACATCATCTCTGCTGGAAGCATCTAGCGTGGCATTCAACAACCACCAAAGTTCTTGAGCGTGTTTTGGATACCCGAGGTGAAGGAATTGATCCTTATTCAAGAGACCGATGACAGAATCCCAAATGCGCTTCCAATTATCAGACGCACAGCGTATTTTATCGAGCGATAGGTATCTTAATAAGCCCGCTCTCGCTTGGAATGCGAGAGAGTTAATAGCTGTTGCGACATGCTTAGTAATTTGATCGATTCGCTGACTTCGGTCATCAACATACCATAAATCAGGATCAAGAGATGTTCCACGGATACCGAAAGACCCCATGTTATTGGGCCATTATTTGCAGTGGTTTCGAGCAACTGCGTGATGACATCCTTGAAGGGAGGAAGCGGGAGCTCTGTCGAGTGCGACATGGCAATTCTGCTAAAGGAAGACGCGCTTTCGGCTTCCCATAACCCGGCACTCCAAGGAAAATGACAGTCCATCTCAAAGACCGATATTGATGGGTGGTTTTTGAAGCAGACTGTAAGGAAACCATCCGCTAGAAAGACCCAACAGGCGATACTTGGAGCTGGTTAGCGATGCATCTCAAAAATCCCCCTAAAAATAGGACAACATAAGAATGAAAAAAAAGGGAAATGTAAGGTACCGTATACACACTTCCTCTGCCACCAGTTTTTTCCAAGTATTCTCATCACAAACCGTTGGAGCTGTTCCTCGCTTGAGCTGGAAAATCCCCAAGGACCGTATGGTGGATACCAAACATGGATGTCGGACGATGCGAATGCGACGTCTTGTTTGCATATTGTCTTGTCCAAATTGAAGCATCTCGATAATAAGGGCACTTTGTAGTAGCTGAACAGTTGATAAAAGTTGGGATTGTTCTTTTGGTGAAGCGAGTGTTGATAGCTCCGCAATTTTCCGAAATATGTACTCTTCTGCGACGTCGAAGAGACTGGATGGCAGGGCTCCTCCATCCAATGGAATAGTGTATGTGGCACCGGATAAGAAAATCGAGAGTAAAAGAGGATTGGAGACATTTCCTGGGTCGAAGGTTGGAAAATGCACCACGGGTAAGTGCCAGTGCAGGGAATGGAAGAACGCAGAGATAGAAGCAGAGATGTTGGAAACCCCTAAGAGGGTAGAAAGTTCCATAAAATCAAGCGCACTTAGCGTTCCTGTGCTCCCGAGACCCATCGACTTTGAAGTATCGACCAATTCTGTCATGATCTCGGACAGTTGGTTGGAAAGCTTTGAAGGGAAGAGTGTATCAAGGTTGAACTGAAGTAGATAATCATCTGTGAAAGAGGGCAGAGTCGATGGTATTTGGAAAGGGAGATTTGTGAGTTGAAAATCACTACCAAAAGCCGACATAGGATCAGTGGGAACGAGGGCATCTTCGATATGGGAATTGAGTGTTTCAAGGTTTCGTCGAACAGAACATTTTGCGGTCTCCCCAATTGCCAGCCTATCCCGTTGAAAGGATGGATTGGCAAAATGCTGGAGGAAAGAAAATGATCCACTCTCCGGGGTGGCTCGGGATGTGGTTGTAGACGGCGAGGGTGAGGCTACTGCAGTGCAACTGGAATCCCGGGAAGGTGTCTCTTGGGTGACGAAAGTGCATTGTCGTCCAAGGGAACGACAGCGAGAGCATGGTAACTTCCTGTCGCAAGATGCTTTGGCAAAGAAGCATAGCTCACAGGAATGCCTTTTCCTGCCCGGTTTGGCTGCAGGAGGCGCAGGCTGGTTGAATTTTTTGGCACAGGTTTTGACATGTCTTCGTGTGACCTCTCTTTCAAAGCATTAGATAATATTCGTTATTTATAAGATTCTTTGCATACGGCTTAAGAAATGCTTTCTTGCATAAAGGGCAGCTGGAAGTGAGCTGCTGTGTATCTGGGCTGTGGTCAGCTTATTCATATTTGTCATTGAGATCGGACCTTACGGGTCGCTTCATGGCGAATTAAATGAGTCTTCCTCTGATAGGCTTTTTCGCACCGTGGACATCGAAACATGACGTCGAAAGCAGCCTTTGTTGTCTCAAAGGCCGAGGAAGAAAAAAAAAAAGGAAAGGGGCACGGCTACGATAGTCAATGCGTGGACAATTGGCATCCGTGCGTGGCCGGATCACAAAGCAGATTAATTCTCGAGTCGCAAAAATTTGAAGTTCAATTTTAACAGTTTAACTTCTGTCGATGAACGTCTTGATGGTTAGAAGGACTATGGAGTACTTCGTAAAAAAAAATTCCGATCCAATTTTGTTACTCCAGCAATGCAGGTCCGAGTACAGAGTACAGAGCACAGCCCTAAGATTTCAAACCACTAATCATGACTGGGGCTGTGTTTACTCCGTAGACCCTGTCTTTCTATGTAAAGCCTACAAGGGTAAATGATGAACCGTAAGATAAGAGTTCTGTATGCTATGACTTGCTAAAGAATGACTTCCTCCTGGCGGGTCACTGGGATCTTATATTTATAATCACCGGTTGCAACGGGGGAGGGGGGGGGGGGGGGGGTGATTTGTTAGATCTCGCGTTTGAAATTTATCGCATACAACATACAACATGTGCAAAGTGATTTTTTAATGAAATCGTGGACATCGAGAATCGGATGCTCGGAGCAGGGGTTCCTTACGCACTAGGTTCTCTGTTCCTTACCCTGCTACGACAGTCCGGCCGAGAACTACAACATACGCTAATCTGCATGCACATAATTGCTTTTTCTTGCTAGTAATACCAGTGTTCATACCTATTAGTCATTGATCACTAGTAACTATGTAGTTCAGAGCTTCTTCTGTAACCAATTGGTTGTATGAATTTGGAAGAATACCATGTTTATTACCAGCGGCGTGCATACATTAGCATAGTTCTCGCCCGAGTTGTTGTAGCAGGGTAGTTGCTTTCCCAACACCCAAAGCAGATGTTTTCGGACGTATTTTAGCGACTGGGGGCAAAAGAGCGGAAATCTCCGAACCCCTGTTGTGCACGGGACTCCGAATGCGAGTTGATCACTATTAGATCAGTACAAAGTCTTTTCAAGATTTAAGGTATCACATCCACTAGTTGAGAAAAGCTTCGTTCGCTCGAGCACACAGCGTGTTGCAAGAGTTACAATCCATAGAAATACTCACGGGTCTCGTGTACAACATAAAAAGAAGAACACAATGGAGTTATGAAGATGCCGGGAAAAAGCCGAGAATTCAAGGCAATCATGCACGCCAGACTGCAGATCGTGCTCCACATGCGGAAACAGAAGTTGTGGGTCATAATAAGATCGAAAAGATCGAAAAGGCCCAAAAAGGCAGTGGGGTTAATATCTCTAGCGCAGCCAAGGACAAGCCCCCAAATGGTTAGTTAATCATAGGGTCGTGCGAAATTTCGACCCTAAATCACCATGCTTGTGCAAAACTTCGGTGTCCGAGGATGCGATATAGTGTTGTAGTGTTAATAGGTGGGGAGAACAGAGCAGTTTGTCCCGGAAAGAAAAAGCAAACAGGATGCTTCAAAATATTTTAGAAATGCAGCGTACCTGAATAGACACCCTTGTACTCCGATAGCCGGGGTTCCACATCAGGTAGGAGGCGCATGATGACTGGTCTATTGGGGTAATGGGGACTGGAATTTAATGAACTGGCATTTCGGTCCAATTTGGGATTATACCGCTGATTTTACCGATAGCCCTATATTGAAACCGACACCTTGCTTGGTGTCGCCCCTGAACTGAAAGATCATGAGCACAAAGAACTGCTTGAGATGCGTTGTGCATGTGGGCTTATGTGGCTGGACTAGTTTTGGATTAGGCCCCGAGCGGGAGCAATTGAATAAGGCGCTAAGTGCATTAGCGGCCCGGGAAAAAAGTGATAGGTCTAGTCTGAGGGTTGAATATCAGGTTTGGTTCCTTGACCAACTTTTGTCAACGAAATACGAGGGGAAAAAAGGAGGGGACCAATCAGAAGGATATCTACAAGCAAAATGGGTTGGTCTGGTCTTGCTGTTCTAATTTGGCGTTCTTTTTTGGGCTAGGCAATGGTTTGTGATGTAGATCGACGTTGCCTCCCCTATTTTTACGATTGCTATAATGACTGCCTGATGGGTTCGTACATATAAGGCTGTCTGCCTCTCTCTTCCATTCCCGTTCCACATCTCCTCGTTGTAGGTTTTTTAACCTCTCGCTCATTATTGCTGGTGTCAATCGGCGTCCATTCTTTTTTTCGCTCTGAATATTCTTCCAACGCGCTGCGATGAAGCAATCCATGATTGCTTCGCTTGTAGCTCTTGCAGCATCATGCTCCGTACGCAAGACCCTTCCTGCAAGTTTAATTGGATGAAGAGCTAACTTTTTTTTGCGATTGTGAAGGGAGTTCAAGCCACTGATAGCTTGATTGATGTGCCTATCAATCTTTGCGCAGCTATTCTTGGAGAGGCTGAGTGCGAACAGAAGACAGTT